GTTTTCTTTATTTACATTTACCTTTTTAACTGTGAATTTACTCATCCAGTAAAAAGACGTGTAAACACGTCCCGAAGCATTTTAAGTCCGACATGAAACTGATCACTATGGTAACGRGGGAGCATGTGGTCACGCAAACCCACGTGAAGCCGACATCAGGCGAAGGCTGGACCATCTCATTTCGCAGCAGTTTTGAGTATCCTACCCGGCCCAGCAAGGATGTGGCCTCCGTGGCCCAGCTAGGCTGGGTCCTCATGAGGACCCAGCACATGAATTGAGACACAGCCAGAGCCTCCATTCTAAATCATTCAAAACCACAGACTGTTCAAGACATGCTCTCTTTTCTGGGATTAACAGGCTATAGTAGACAGTATGTTCCTGACTACACAGGCCTAGCTACCGTTCTTCATGATTTAGTTAAACAACAGGGCATGCGGAACTTAAAAGCTCATCTACAGTGGACGCAGCCGGCTGAAGAAGCTTTCATTCATTTAAAACAGCTTTTGGCCAGAGCAACAGATTTAGCTTTGCCTGACTACTCCTTGCCTTTTCATCTAGATGTTTCTGAAATAAATGGAACTGTAAATGGCATTTTGTTTCAGAAAAAGGGGGGTGAGAGACAGATTTTAATGTATGCTAGTGTTTTGCTAGACAATACAGAAAAAAGACACCCAGCTTGCATCCAACTCGCAGCAGGATTAGCAAAAATCATCCAAAAAACAGCTCACATTGTAATGGGTCATCCTTTAAACATCCTCACTTCCCACAATGTAGTAGCGTATGTCAACTCACAGATTTTCACCATGACATCACTGAGACAACAGAGAATGAGTAAAATATTAGGGGCTCCTAATTTACTATTCTCACATGAAGGAATAAACAAAGCAGACAGAATGACAGCAGGACCAACACATGACTGTGTGAGAAAAGTGCAGACAGAAGAAAAAATCAGGCCAGATTTAGAGACAGAACACATACCAGGCTCAGAAGTGTTGTACACAGACGGTTGCTGCTTCTGGATGGAAGATGGTAACTTAAAATCAGGATATGCAGTGGTGAGACAGGAAGGTCAAAGGTTTGAGATTTTGTGGTCAGGACAGCTAGAAGGACAACAGTCAGCTCAGAAGGCAGAAATTCAGGCAGTGGTAGAAGCTTTAAAGGTAGGAGCAGGAAAAGAGATTACTCTGTACACAGATTCAGCTTATGCTTATGGTGCAGTTCATGTCCAGTTACCTCAGTGGAAAAGAGCACGGTTCTTGACAGCAGGACAGAWACCCATTAAACATGAGAAGTTGATGAAAGAGTTGGCCGAGAGTTTGTTACTTCCAAAGAAGGTGGCAATGGTGACGTGCAAAGGTCATGACATGATTGGGTCAGAAACAGTAGAAGGAAACAGGCAGGCAGACAGAGCAGCAAAAGATGCAGCAGGATACACAGGAGCTAGACAGATGGTGACAGTGGAGGAAGAGTGCCAGCAGGACAGTTACTGGGGGGAGCAGAAGTCCAGAGAGCACAAGAGAAGGCCTCTACAGAGGAAAAGTCATTATGGAAGAGAAAAGGGGGTCTGATAGATGAAGAGGATGGCTTGTGGAAGGGACCACAGAATAGATGGGTTTTGCCAATGACACTGAGAGAAAAAGCTTTTCAGGAAGCTCATGGTTTGGGACATGTAGGGATCAGATAGATGGAGAAAATCTTAAACAATGGTGGCACTTTCACATGAAAGACATGATAGCTAATCATGTAGCTATTTGTGATATTTGTACCACTTACAAAGCCAGACCAGTAATCAAACCAGAATTGAGATCCTTTCCTTTGCTTTTCAGACCATGGCAGGAAATAATCATAGATTACACAGACATGGGAGAGTCAGTCAGAGGGCACAAGTATATATTGATGTGTGTTGACGCCTTTACAGGATGGCCAGAGGCCTTACCTGCAAAAAGAGAAGACAGCAAAACAGTTGTAAAGTTCTTAATAAATCACTATATTCAGAGGCATGGGTTTCCTGACAAAATCAGATCTGACAATGGCACTCATTTTAAAAACACAGACTTGCAGGCTGTGGAAAAAATATTAGGGTTAAAACATGCCTTTGGAACAGTTTATCATCCTCAATCACAAAGAAAAGTTGAAAGAATGAATCAAAATGTCAAACAAAAATTGGGAAAAATCTGTGCACAGACAAAATTAAATTGGCTTGATGTTCGGTTTTTTTAACCTAGGGACTCAGACAGAAAACATAACACAACCCCGCCGAACATTAAACAATGACAAACAGAGACCAGTAAGATTTTTTGTTTCACTTTGCAAATGAGAAATTCTGAGATACTTAACTCTGCTCGAAAGCACAGTGAAGCACAGAGAAGTTCTGACCTCTGGGGGCGTGAACAGTCGTTTTATTCACACACGTAGGAATGAAGTCACACAATGTTACAACAAATCAGAGATCAGTTATGTGGTTTGTCATAGGCATAGGAACCAATCAAAACACTTGTTGCTGGGGTTTAATACAGTGGTTTGCAAAAGTATTCATACCCCTTGAACTTTTCCATATTTTGTCACATTACAAC